AAGATGATGGGCACTGAGAAGAGCCTGTATTTGTACACATCAGACACTGTGAAATGGTCACTTTTGTGTGTCTACCACTGTCCTCACTACCTCTTACCAAGCAGTTCCTGGCTTTGATTGTAGTGGTGATTTTTTAGTATTTTTTCCCACATTAGATTTAAAGGAAATAAAGCTTTTGTAAATAGGGAGGGGTGAAAAGGAAGGAAGGGGAATAGGAAAAAACAAGAACCAAGATATAGCATGTACAAGTACAAATTCTCAATGATGGATGCGATTGTAATATATACCTAAAATGTACCGATAAACGTAATGAATAAAAAAAATTAATTTTTTAATTTCAATGTTTAGGATGCATAATAAATCCATTAAGCATGAAGACTTGGCACATATCACACCTCGATCCTTTTTACTTCCTCTTCCCCTTCCCTCCCTTTCTCCACGACCCCAGAGCCCAATCCTAGTAAGTATATACTGAATCAAACATAGATTTAGACAATTTGCTCTTTAGTATGCTGTTAAGCCTTTACACCTTCATTTTAAATATTCCTAAAAAACAAAAGAAAATGCACTTAAATTTTAGATCAATAGATCAAAGCTATTTCTAAAATGTTATTTCTCCTCTTTATTCCTTTTCCTTTAGCAGTATTTTGCTTTGGAAAAACCAGAAATTTGCTGCAGGATACTCTTTGCTCCCTCTTCATTTTAACTTGACAACTGGAAAGAAAACTGAGGAAAGGATTTTGAGCCAATGCAATTGTGTGTTAGCCAAATAGAATTGTAAAGAGTTTCGTGGGTCTTGCATCCTCATTGTGAAGCTATATTTAAAATGTCAGAAACTCAAGTCAGTAGCTGAAGGGATACAGTTTCATGTCATATTTAAAAGTAAAAACGATATTGTTTATTTTGGTAGAGAAATGTGGTTTATTCTCCTTTCTGCTACCTTTTTTTTTTCTTTGTGGCCCTGAAATCAGAAACCATATGGATATAAGTATGCTAATGTTCTTAGAAAGTATGGACTTAAAAGTAACCAAATCACTGAATAAAATGCTGTATTTGACTGCAAAATTATTCCAAGTTGCATACATATTAATGGTCACTCCTTTACCTTTCTAATTCCTGTTTTCTTCCTTTTCTCCTAAAATAAGCCAGTCTGAGCTTTTTGCTTTTATTTTTTCCAAAGCATTAAGTTTACTAGGGTAGAGCCTGAAGATGAGGAAAATTATCCTGAAGGAAAAGAGAGAAATTCCTAGTAGGAATTTCCTCTCAAGGGAAGCTCTGGAACAGCAGACAGGTAAGAAGAGAACATTGCTGTGGTAGCCAACAGCTAACGCTTCACATGCAGAGCTTGAACTCTGAGCACAACCTGTGGATTAGGGAGAACGCTTGCAGTCAAAATATTTAGAGTTTGTCTACAAATAATACTGCAGCATGTAGTGTAAGAACTGTGCACCTCACTGAGATTTTGTGACTTTAAAAAGTTAAAATTTTACTTCTGGGTACCATGTAATGGAGTCATATTATCTTTGCTGTCAATGTGAATTTCTCTATTTCCTTTCAAGAGTGATTTGAGTCTGTCCATTTCATTTGAACCGTCTTTATTCAGTATCAGGGAAATGTGGTTTAAAGTAATGGGAGTGGAGTTGAGGGCAGAGGGGAATTGGTCGTGAATTGATAATCATTAAAACATGTGTTCCTCTCTTCTTTGTAAATGAAATTTTCCTTAAAATAAATGAAAACAATAGTAGAGAGTAACACTTGTTACTTTTGATTTGGAATTAAACGTAGATGTAAATAAAGGCTCCATGTTCTGAGTTCCTCCTCTGCCTGCTGCTGTGAAAGTAGCAAAGAAACAAACTGGGGTGAACCAACTGAACAGGAAAATGCCACCCACCCCAAATACCTAATGCAGCACCCTACTTGCTCTCCTTCTCTCTCTGCTTTTTTAAAAAAATTTTAACTAATTTATTTACTTTCAGTTTCTATTTTTCTATTAGTTCGCAGTGGAGAGCGCCTGGCTCTCCCATCCGCCCACGCTGCCCAGGTAGTGGGGCTTGGCCAATGGCTTCTGCTCCTCTCCTGCTCTGGTCGCTTCCTTCCCCACCCCCATTCGTGGACTGGGACCACTCGCACTGGTGTCCTCCCTGGTTACTCAGCACTCTCCTCCTGGGAGTGAGCTGCCTGTCCCTGCTCCTGCCACTTCAGCCACTGCTGCCACCTCTTTGAAGGAGTTGCCCTCAAGTGGCTGGGATTGGGGTGAGAAGGATCTAGGCCCACGATCAACATCCCGCCCTCTCTAAACCCCAGTTTACACTAATGAACACAGCCGCCCTTCATGAAGACTCCCTGGTTTCAGCTATGCCATTTTTCCCCAGAGACATGACAGCTGTCAATCAAATAGCTCTTATCGCTCCACCCCCTCACTGAATCTCCGTCAGGACAGCTGCACTGTCCTAGAAGTCTGGCCCCTGCACACTTAGGCCAATCACAGCCTTCACTTGGGCCAATCAGCAGTCTTGGATTTGAACCAATCACAGGCCAACTCCTGGACCCATCCCAGACCTGCAACTGATATATAAGCAGCACTCCCTGGGCTACTTCTTGGGTTGGTCTAAGAGGGCTCTCTGCAGTGTAAGATTCATCTGTGGTGCAGTACAGGCCCTGCTAAAATAAAGACTGGCTTTGGTGGTCCTGTAAACCACTTGTGATTTATTTCTCAGAGAGTGTGGACTCTGAAGGCCCTGTAAATCTACTCAGCTTATCTTCACTAGTGTGTACAGAGTGGTTGTCTTGAAAGAAAAAGCAATAAACACTAGGGGCAGTTATCCCTGAAGAGATTCAGAGACCAGTGGCCAGGGCCAGCGAAGATCACCAGTAGAGACCACACGGCAGTTTCCCAACAGTGTTTGCCACAAGCTGGCTCCGAGTGACAGTGGCCAGCAATGGCAGAGACCAGTGCTGTCTGGTGACATCCGGGCTGCTAGCAGAGCTGCACCTTGTCAATTCATGATTCCCATCTGAACTGAGCAAAAGAACCCTCGACTGATGGGCAACAGAATCAGTGCACAGTGCACAAGCTTAATGTTAGGGCCTCAGTGACAACTCTGTAGTATAGATGGCTAATATAGATATAGCCCTATTCCTACTACGTGGTGAAGAAGGGGATGGTCAGTGTTAATTTTTTATAGACTGTTTATTAAAAGTTAGACCAGTTATGTCAGTGGTTTCATATTTGGCGTCCTAAACAATGACATTCAGCAATCTCACTCACACCCCCATGGCAATCACATTCTGCCAACCCCTCCAAATGCCCATTTTTATTTTTCTTTACACAAAGCTAAGAAGTTGTTAAATAACTTTCATAAAAACAAAAAAGAGAACCGCACAATACACATAAATGTCATGGCCCTAAGATTTTATACACAGTCATTTATCTAACATTTTCATAGAAAACAAAATTAAGTCATCCTCCTTTTACCTGTGTAGGTTTAAAAGATCTAAATTCTCTAGGTCTTATTATCTTTATCTTATTTGTTTCTGTTCACACTTAGAATAGATAAGCATTTAGAACATTTTCAGATAATCTTGCTCTACAGAAAGGCTTCTTTCTAAATGGCTGCATGATACAGGCATGAACATCAAAACCACTAACAATTTTTGGAATCGATGTAATTCTTTAAAATCTCAAATGCAATTTTGAAAGTGCTAATAATAAAAATATAAAAGTAAGGCTCTTAAGCATCATGGAAAGTTTATTGCGAGATTCTCAACAAGCAACCAAGGGAGATTGGAGCCTCAAGAAAACCCACCAAAGGGTTTGGGGATTTAGCTCAGTGATCCCGGCGCCTACCTCAATGCAATGTCCCAAGTTCGATCCCCGGTACCAAAAAAACAAAACAAAACAAACAAACAAACAAAAAAAACCCATTGAATACCACACGTTGGCTCTGGAATGGGAATGAGAGAGGCCTGGCCAGTTATCAACAGAGAGGTAAAGGAAAAAATCACAGGCAAAGGTCACATTAGTGTAAAACTACCAATGTACACCCACTGCTTTACTTTCCAACCATCTATCCCCCAGATTTTCATGAGTGCTCCAAGAACTCTTCCTTGGCCTCCAAAGTGTTATTTATGTATTTATTTTGCAGTACTGGGGACTGAATGTGTGGAGTGCCAAGCTACGTCCCTTTCAAAATTTTTATTTGTTTGGTTTTGTTTTTGAGACAGGGCCTTGCTAAACTGGCCAGGCTGGCCTGGAATTTGAGATCTTCCTGTCTCAGCCACCAGTGGACCTGGGTATACAGGTAACACAACCTTGTGGGGCTCCACACTCTTCTTCAAAAGAGCCAGGAATGCTGCCAAGAAAGTATTTCCTCCGCCCATGACCTCTGTCTACCAATGATTGAGCAGCCTGTTACTCTCAGCTGTTACAAATGTTTGTTCAAATGTCACCTTCTCAGGGAGGCCCTAGTTAAACACTGCCAGTCTTCCACGCCCATTTCCCACTTCTGATAACCTCATGTGATTTTGTCAGCCGACCCCAAACCTCAATTTACCACATCCCCCCACTTTCCCCCCCTGTTTTCGGTGTTGGGTATTGAACCCAAGGCCTTCACCCTGAGCTAGAACCCCAGCCCTTTATTTATTTATTTATTTATTTATTTTTGAGACAAGGTCTGGCTGAATTGAGTAGGCGAGATTCAAACTTGAATCCTCCTGCCTCAGCCTCTCAGAGTGCTGGGATTGCAGGTGTGCACCTCCAGCTACCTCCCACGTACCTTTTGGACAGGACGTCTTCACCTGTCGCTTCTCCTTTAAATCTTGTCTGGAAGGGGCGGGGCCATGTCCCAGGCTCCCACGCCGGCGAGGGCCGGTCTGTAGGCTCCGCCCATCTGCGTAGCCAGCGGCGGGGGCGGAACCCAGGAGGCACACCTCTCCTACCGGGCCCCGGTAACGCCCCTGTGGGCGGACGGACGGACCGGCGTTTGTGGGCGTGACGTCAGTGCGCCGCGCCGGCATTCCGGCGCTCGGGTGGGTCTTCCGCGGGTTGAAGCGCTGGCCGCGGAAGCTTCCCACTGCCGTGCTGCTGGGTTGACTTTTGGTTCGCGTTGAGGCTTTCAGGCTGGTCTCGAATTCCGCTATGTACCACAACAGCAGCCAGAAGCGGCACTGGACTTTCGCCGACGAGGAGCAGCTGGCGCGGCTGCGGGCCGACGCCAATCGCAAATTCAAGTGCAAGGCGGTGGCGAACGGGAAGGTAAGGGCCCAGCCGCCCTGGCCGCGAGCCCCGGAGGCTGGGAGCTCCTCAGTCTCTACGCAGCCTCGCTTGCTTCGGCCTCCTGCGGACGGAGTCCACGGGCTAGCACTGGGCGGCCCTGGGGACACAGGGGCAAAAAAACGCCGTCCCCGCGGTCGTGCGGCAGACAGAATGCCTTTTCGTTGCTCTAAGCTGGGGTCTGGATGTGTCGTTCAGGCTGGCCTTGAACTCTCTGTGTAGCCCAGGCTGGCCTCGAACTGGGGCTGATCCTCCTGCCTCAGCCTCCGAACTGCTGGGATTACGGGCGTGCGCCGCCACGCCGGGCCACAAAGTCTTTCAAAAACGGGGAGGAAGAGACTGTGGGATTCGGAAGTAGCGCAGGGCCGGAGCCATTCACTTGGTCGAGCAGGGATGGCGTGGGGTAGCTTTTGTCAGTAGCTGATCCGGAGAAGAGAAGGAAGGGACCGTGGAGATAGAGCCACAGGTGCAAAGCGGAAACCAGAAGGCGTAGGGCAAGTGCGTGGAGTCATGCGCGCAGTCGATTGCGACTGAAGCTGAACCCGGAGAGCGGCGGATGGGGAGGGCAGGCGAGGAACTGAAAAGCAAAAGCAAGGACAGTAACTGGAATTTACACCGAAACCGTGGGGAACCTTGGAAAGATTGGAAAGGGAAAGTTAACCTCGGCAGATCAGAGTTCTGTAGAGAGCCTCGGGGAAGTGGGGGTGAGTGGAAACGGGAGACCCTTGTTCCCAACCGGTTCCCAACCTGGAGACTGTTTGAACTATTATTGCCCGCTAGCCAAGCCCCTTCTTCCAACAGCTCTCAGCCAGGTTTGATCTTCCCTGCGTGCTCTACCTCCATTTCTTGCGTTTGCTTCATTTAAGCAAGTACGGTACTCAGTGCCTCCAGGCCTAGTGGTGCTGAGCGAATTTACTTTTACGTTGATTTCCTATCACTGAGTTTAGCACCCGGATTAGTTTCCTGGAGCTGCCTTTAAACCACCAAAAAAGGAGCCCCTTAAAAGAATATAAACTCCCTGAGACATCTGCTGTTCTTTACCTCAGATTCTTATAACAGTGATTGAGAAAGGGACATTGAAAGCTTTCTGACCTTTGAAAATGTGTGTTCTATTAAATTAACAAATAATGACATCAACCCTAAGACCATATGCACATTCTGTTTCCATCTTACATCAGGGAAGCAAATGCCCAGGTAACATTCTGAGAAATTGTAAAAGGATGGTAGTTTAACTTACTCAATATTGCCCCAAAGCTGTTTTGTATGACACTTAGCACATCTATAAAGAGAAAACTATGGCTGGGCGTGGTGGCCTACACTTGTAACCCCAGCATTCTGGAGGCTGAGGAAGGAGAATCATTATGATTTCAAGGCCAGCCTGGTCTACATAGCAAGACGCTAGCTATCTCCAAAAAAAAAAAAGGATTAAAGAGAAAATTATTTGTGGTATGTTTTGCTTTGTCGTGGATATAAAATTAGGATAGCGAAGACAATTTTACAATTAGCTCACTGAACTTAGGTCATAATTTTTGTTTTAAAGGTTCTTCCAAACGATCCAGTCTTCCTTGAGCCTCATGAAGAACTGACTCTGTGTAAATACTATGAGAAAAGATTATTGGAATTCTGTTCAGTGTTTAAACCAGCAATGCCACGGTCCGTTGTGGTAAGTTAACAGTAGTGATGATATACAGTGTCGCTTAGCTGGCTTATGGGATCTGACCTCTTGTAAGTTACTAAACTCCCAATCCACTTGTCACAAAATTCACCTAAGTTATATTTGTTTAGTTTTTGTCGTATATTTTTCAAAAAGGCCTTAAATCATGAGTTGTTTGTTATATCTTACAAAGTATTAAAAAATCTCATTCCACAGTCAAAAGAGTTTGGGGGTCTGCTGAACAAGTTATGACCTATGCATTTTATAGAGAAAGAAAAAAGAAGATGATTTTCCCTTCTGATGCTGAACCAGTGAGCAGTAGAATTGGGGCCAGAACATAGAGGAGTGCTTTTTCAGCTCTGTGACCCATAGTACACTCAGTACATGTTTGAAATAATGTATTGGTATTTGTAAGAAGGACCTTTTCAAAGAAACCTTCTCATAAATAAGTTCCTTTTCACAGAATTGAACATGTAACATGTGCGAATAGACCCTGATAACCTATTTTTTTTAACCCTAGGGTACAGCTTGTATGTATTTCAAGCGTTTTTATCTTAATAATTCTGTAATGGAATATCACCCCCGGATAATAATGTGAGTATGTTTGTCTTAATTTATTGTGTTCATTAAAGAAGACCTCTTTACTCTGGATATTTGTGCAGTGTGTTACATATGAAAGAGAATTGACTTCCTAATCAACAGGAAAATTAGACTTGTATTCTTTTCAAACTCAATGGCAGCTTGACGTAGTTCAGCCTAAAATTGGGAAACAACCAAAACAAAGCAAAAAACAGAGGAATGAAGGTATTTTGTGTCAGCCGGGAATTTAGCTCAGTGGTTCTGCCGCCTGCCTCACAAGCGCAAGGTCCTGAGTTTGATCCCTGGTACCAAAAAAAAAAAAAAGAATTAAAAGTATTTTTTATGATGAAATCTGGATGGGAGAGTTAAAAACAGAAGAGTACACGCGCATGTACCGTGTGCCCATGGGAGAAAAGTAGGTCTAGAGAGCACCTGCCTGGGCTTTGAGTCCCGTGTGGTGACGACTTTCCCTGTCCATTCAGTGTGCAGAGCCTGTAGGCTGGGAATCATCTCAGTTGAATTTGTTTCTGCTCACAGCTAAACACTATGCCTATTGAGAAGGACAAAATTAGTATGACACTCATCAGGGAACTTACTGTCAGTCACTGTGGCATACTAGATTGTTCAGCCAGTTTTACGGGGTTTTTTTTGTCTCCTAATAGATAAAGATACGAAGATGAATTAACCTTTTAAAATTTTCTGCAATATGTAGTGTCGTCATTTATGAATATGAGGCAATTTTAAAAAGTACTTGTAGAAATAAAATACACACTTTTCAAGGTATATGATGTCCTTCCACAATTCCTTGTTTTTTCCTCTAGGCTTACTTGTGCATTTCTGGCCTGCAAAGTAGATGAATTCAACGTGTCTAGTCCTCAGTTTGTCGGAAACCTTCGGGAGAGTCCCCTTGGACAGGAGAAGGCCCTGGAACAGATTTTGGAATATGAGCTACTCCTTATACAACAACTTAATTTTCACCTTATTGTCCACAATCCTTACAGACCATTTGAGGGCTTCCTCATTGATATAAAGGTAATAGTGATATGAAGTGAACTACTGGGTGAGTTCTTTGCTATTGTTCTTTAAATGAATCCAAAACTTTGGAACTTATAACCATCCTAAATTGTTACAAACCGGTGCAGCTAGTGAACCTGACTGGCCCTGTAAGGTTATAGTTTTCAAACTTTACTGTGCATCTGAAGCACTGAGAGAGCTTGAACTCAGATTGTTGGGTAGTGAGTTTCTGATGTCATGATCTGCAAATCCTGGCCCAGAGACTATAATAAAGACCATTGTGAGTTTAGAGAATGTTTTTAAGGACTTAGTGTAACTCTCGTAACTCTGACATGTATTATCTTGGATCGGGGGCCTGTTAAAAAGCCAGTACTTCTAAGGCTTTGTGAACACGAGCCATAAATACAAGAATCAAAAGTATAACTAAAGATTTACAAAAAGAATATAAGTTGTCGTATAGCCTGAGTAGTCAAAGAGAATTCAAAGAAAGTGGCTTATTCATTTCAGTTGAGCAGTGCAGTTTGGTGACTTCTATATGCTAAGCAGAGTGCCTGAAGATATAAGCAGAAATGAGACAGGAGCACTTTCAACTTTCATGGACCTTACAGACTAATAGTTCGGGCAGTCATTATGCACTTAATGTGCTAAATGTTACAAAGGAAGAACACAAAATAATTTAGAAAGAGATAGCAGGTTAAACTATCAGACATTTCTGAGAAAAGATCATTTAAAGTAAAATTCGGAGTAAGAATGGAAGGTAAGGAAAGAGGATCCAGAGAGAGACTTTCCTTATAAAAGGCTCAGGTTCGGGGTACGTTAAGAACTAAACAGGACCTAGAGATATAGGAGGAAGAGTGCATCCAAAGATTGCTGCCTGAGTGGAAGGAAGAGACTGACACAATGTCAGAGATTTTATTAGACGGTTATGATTGGGTTTGCAGCTTGAAAAAGTCCTGTTGCCAACCTCCTGTGTCAGTCTGCATCAGATGATTTGTTACGCCCCTGTATATGTCACGAATATTGTGAAAAATGGCTTAGAATGAATGAAGGATTAGCAGCACTATTGGAATAGTCCCAGTGGAAAGACAGTGCTGGGCTTGACTCGGGCAGAGAGAATGCTTCCTGGGCTTTACAAGCTTGATTGCACCTGTAGGGTACAGACAGAGGAGGAATCCTGAATTTCTGGCTTGAGGATACAGGTAGATGATAGAACGCTGACTGATAAAGGGAGTGCTGCTCGAGAGTGATTTATTGATGATGGAAGGGGGGATGGATTTAGTTTGGGACACAGTGAATTAGGATTGTTTGCGAGATATCCAGTAGGTAGTTTACATCTGGAGGTCAGAAGATATGCAAGGCTCGAGGTGTACACTTGAATTAATCATCGCTCAGGAGAGTTGAGAGTGGATTGGCTGAGAACAACTTCTAAAGGGTAAAGGAAAAGTAAAGAAGCTACTAAGAAGTCTGAAGACTGAGGAGAATCCAAAGACAGGATTTGTTAGAGGAGTGAAGTAAAATATTTTTAGGAGATGAGCAGAACTGTCTAGTCCTGCTCAGAGTTCAGGCGAAGAAAAATAGACAAATAATAGTTGCTGGATTGAGTGCCACAAAGGTCATTTGTGATTTTGTTGAAATTAGTCTACCAGATGGCTGCTTGTTGGAAAGTGGATTGAAAGTGAGAAAAGAAGTATTGTCATGAGGTGTGTGATGACTGGATATGTCCTGAGAAACTCGAGGTGATTTCATCTTGTGTGACTGTCACAGAGTATACTTAAACATGATAGGGCCAACTGCACTTATAGGTTCTAGGGTATATGGTGTAGGGTGTGTGTATGTGTGTTACTGTGTTCCTGTGGATCGAACCCAGGGCCTTTTCAGTGAGCTAGATCCTCAGCCCTTTTGTAATTTTCAGGCAAGATTTCTCTTAGCACCATGTTTCCCAGGCTGGCCTCAAACTTGGGATCCTCTCGCCTTGGCCTCCGGAGTGCTGGGATAATAGGTGTGTGGCACCACATCTAGCTCAAATTTAACTTTTAAAAATTCTCTTGTTAAAAATTAGACACAGAATGGGCAAGATCATCAGTTACATTTTCTGTCCACCTCCACATCTTGTCCCACCGTGAGGTCCTCGGGGGCAGTAACACGCATGTGACCGTCATCTCTAACAAAAAGGCCTCTTGAATACCTCCTGAAGGAGCTGCCCCAGGCTCTTTTACCACTGACTTTTTTCTTTATAAGCAGGAATGTACTCTAATGATAAAGTATAATAAAACTAGAAACCACTAGCACAGTTGTATGTTGTCATTGTCAAGTATTTTTCCTGTACATAATTACATGCACTGTTCTTGTATACAAGCTGGTAGTCCATAGGTTTGAGCACCAGCATCACCGGGGGAGTACATGGGCAGTGCTTTGTACTAGGACTTGGCTATGGCTAGAACCTCATTAAATGATAGGAATTTTTCAGCTCCATTGTAATTTTCTGACAATCAGCAAAGACACAGACAGGTGGACAGTGTTTGTCATAGTGAAAAAGAGGAGAACAGATTTTCCTTGAAAATCTCATCTTTGCTAGGCAGCGTTAAGAAACAGACTGAGGTCAGTGAATAGGAATTGATAATAATGTTACCGAATCTCTGGAAGTACTCAGAAATCATTGGTACCATTGCAAAGTAGAAGGTGGGCTGGACTCGGATACTGTTGGACTTTAGCCAGATGTGTTGGCAGTCCGTGGGAGCAGATGGTGAATTCAGGAGGGAAATGAGGCCGGAGGGCCCTGGTGCGAGGCAGCGCTTCGGGCCACGTGACCAAAGGCTCCGAGGGTGGAGAGCAGCTGTGAGCACCCGAGCAGATGGACCGAGCAAGGGCGGGCAGTCCGACAAAGGGACCGGGTTTGTCATGGCAAAGGTCAGGCATCTTGGGATAGTGCCAAGCCTGAGTGTGACTACATAGTTGACTGAGGTGTTTGTTCTAAGCGTAGACAAGATTTTTTAAAAGACCTGAAAAATTGTCAGGAAATAGATGATCTTCCATAGTCTTGGGCATGTTTTGAAAATTCAGTTATTTGGGGAAGTCTGGTAGGTTCAAAGTTTGTTTCCGTTTACTTCTTCCCTAAAGTAAACGTTAGAATGAATTTCGTATCAAAATGGGGGGTGCCATGGTCCCTAAAAGTCGCCTTCATTCTGAACCATCTGGGTTGCCAGGGAGGTCTTTCTGGGAGGATTTCTTTGGTCTCCTTCAGATCCAGGGGAGTCTTCAGAGCCTCCCTGCCTGACTTCTCAGGCGGAAAAGACAAAGAGAAGGGTTAACATTCATTTCAAATACTGTCAGGTACTGCTGTGCTGGGAACTGCAGATGTCAGCTTAAAGCGTATGTTTTTTACTGTTCAAAAAAGCATATTTTTTTTGTGTTCAAAAAATTTTGAAAGCTGCTGAATTAAAGAGTAATTAACATCAGAGAAGACAAGATTAAAGAATCAGAATTCAGTGATGGTAATTTTGCTGCATTCTAATTGTACATACAAAACAATCTTTCACTAAGAAGATTACAAGGTATGTTTTGTTGGGTATAGGAAAGGAATTAGTTTTATAAAGCATTCTGTATTAAGCACTTTCTGGGTAATATAAATACTTTTGAACTGTTACTATTCCACTAAACTCTCAGAGATGGTAACATCTGGTAACTTTTTTTCTAGACCCGCTATCCCATGCTGGAGAATCCAGAGATTTTGAGGAAAACAGCAGATGACTTTCTTAATAGAATTGCGTTGACGGATGCTTATCTTTTATATACACCTTCCCAAATTGCCCTGACTGCCATTTTATTTAGCGCCTCCAGGGCTGGAATTACTATGGAAAGGTATTAATTTGTATTTCACCTTAGTTCAGATTCAGTCACTCACTTTATTTCTTAATGGAGTCTGAGTTTTTAAGTAAGGTTCGTTTGTGAATATAATCCTATACATATCCCTTGTGGCTGGGAACGTTGGTGATGAAAGAAGTGAAATCGGGTTTTAAGAAAATCTTATAAGCAGAGTTGTTGAGCTAAGGGAGTACATTTATGACTAAAGTAGAGTAAAACAGGTGATCCCGGGAAGACTGTAGCTATGAGTATGTTGCAGATTTGTTTTTCAGCTGCTAAGCAACATGAATACAACATACATGTTTGCCCTGCTTTATTGCTACTCCTCTGCCCTGGGCATGCATGGCCTGTGGAGTTCAGTGAAGATCTGTGGTGAGGTTACTGCTGAAGGGGCTGCCCCAAGCCAGTTGAAACTGGGCCGTAAATAGTGATGGCTAGCATGTAAACCACACTGAGACCCAGGCTCTTCACACAGGTTAAACCCATTGTTTCTTAGAACAGTGTCTCGTGCACAGATTGATTAAACTTTACAGATTCATTAAATATACCCTTTTAATATGCCCATAGATGAGTATAACAGTGGATATAATGTTTGGGGAGGTGAGACAATGATAAAGCAGACATTTTTGCGGTACTCAAGTTCCTTGCCAGACTAGACTGGATTTTTACTTTTTACGTTTAATTGCTCTATGACCTTTTGTAATTTCAAAATCCATTGATGAGGTGGCAGCAAATATGAACAGATTGATTTAGTTTTAGCCCATTGAGTAGAGGTACTAGTTTCCTTGCAGGAGTATTAATGTTCCTAATTGCAGGATACTGCCTGTATTTATCATACTGGAGATACCGGGCTGTGTTTCTGAGATGTGAACAATTACAAATTTCAAGGCACATGTGTACCCGAGACAAAGGACTGTGTTTTGTTTTATTTGTGGTATGTATCTTCTCCACAGCACAGCTCATGAACGACAGAGAAATACAGAAAAGTGACTTCTCTGTTTAGCTAATGCCTTCTATGTACTGCTTTGCACTAATGCTGTTTTAGGCTTATAGGAATGAACAAGATATAAATCCCTGCCTTACTTAGAAAAGATAGCCACATAAATATTTGATATCTGTGGAATTTGGGTACAGAGCTTCTGTTGTATACGAGGGAAAAAGCTCTGTTTTCCACACTTCATATAACCATTTCATTAATCTGTTGAAGCATTTCTGCATTGTATATTGCAACTTCTCCAGTGAGATTTTAGTTAAGTAGAGTACAGTGAAGCATCATAAGGCCCAGATCAGGGTTTACTTCATCTTACGAGTTTAGTTAGTTCTAATTCTGGTCAGGCAGAATTGAAACTGCGGTGCCTCGGCTCATGGCAGATTATGCTGGCTTTTGAATCATTTCCAGGCACTAGTCGATGGAGCATTTTTTCCCTTTTAGGAAAACGCTCTCCAGTCATTACCTTAAAACTGATTTATAGGCAAACTATTTTTTGAGATACATAAAAGTTGAGTTTACATTTATTGTTGGTTTCTGAAAGGGGAGGCCCTGTTGTCATATTTTGAACAGTACTTCAAATTATTACTCATAAGATTTTCTGGGTTCTCTGTGGTGTGGCTATACAGCTATTTCTTAGCTGCTAGTTTGACTCTTCAGGCATTCTCACTTGCCTGTGAATTTTTTAAAATTTCAAAATTGAAAAAAATAATTTAGAATTGAGGCTGAGATAAGAATTTTCAGAGGTAAAGAATTGGCCGCCCAACTCTTAGAAGCAAATGAACACTTAAGAAATTGAAAAGAAAGGAAGACTAAAAAGAAAGGTGACAAAAGTGTGAAGAGTTTTAGGGAGAAAAGGGAAAGGAGAAAAACTAATATAGTTATTTTTAATTACAAGCGGAAATGGGTTATCAAGTTATTGATGCCATTTTCAAAATTAATTCCCACAATAGCCATTGAAGATGTTATATCAGACTTAATTATTGAAATCTTATAATCAGGTTTAACCTGGATAATTTAAAAGGTACATTCAACAACAGTTCTTGAAAGATTGGTTTCCATTTTGGTAACTTTATTTTACCCAAGAGGAAACTCAGTATTTTTTTGTATTTGTGTTTGAAAGATTTCCTATGCTTTGAGAATCTGTTCACTCTGGTCTTTATCAACTATTGATCAAGTTTGGGTACTTAAAACCTTAGCTAAAAACTTAAAGATAGAAATTTTATTTTTACACTATTATTACTAGTTTAGAAAAAAAAAACCCTGGTAATTGGGCTTTATATCCCATTGATGGAAAAAGAATGCCTTTGCTTTGGACTTGACTCAGATAAGAGGTAATTGATTTATAAAGCCTAAGGTGATATTCTTGTTGGTTTAACCCACTCTCCAAGTGCAGCAGTAGCTAACATGACCTTGATGTCAAGGGGAGAGAGAATCCTTACTAGTGACAAATTCTGGCTCTGCTCCTTTCAGGCTCTATGGTTTTGGGCAAGTATAGGTTGTGACTTGTAGCTAAAATAAGTTGTAAATCTTTAAGGCTGTAGTACTTGTAGGTTATACTTTTACAAGAGTTTAAAATATGTAATACTGTCTTAATAAATGTCAAATTCTCCTTGATGAAATAAATATTGAGGCAAACAATTTATAATGTCTTGTTTCTCATTGCTGTGTGTTTTCAATAGGTTTTTTCCTTTCTCTATCAGTTATTTATCAGAGAGTCTAATGCTGCGCGAAACCAGAAGTTGCTTGTCACAGTTACTGGATACAATGAACAGTAAGTAAAACAGAAGACTTTATCAAGCTGTTTTCTAACCGGTGTCTTGATATTTAACTTGAAATAACCTAAGTTTTTTTGAAGACTTATTATTAGACATTCCTCATTTATGAGTGGTTTCCATTCTGGCAAGTAAGTTGTTAAGTGGATTGGCCGCTGAATGAGGAATATAGTGTCTACGTTCATTACAATATTCAGAACAAAGAAATGGTCAAAGAAAACTCCAGCTTGATGGCTTTGCTTTTATTTGCGTAACTTGTACATGCAGTTCTGTAACGTATAGCAACGTTAAACTACAGTACTGTACTGTACAGTATGGTACATTCAGCAAAAGTCACAGTACTCTATGACAGAGTGTGCTGTGCAAAAAGGAAAGGGCATGGAAGCCCTCTTAACAAGATGTACAGAACTGCACGCAAAAAATACCATAAGTCCAAACACTGGGTTTTAAGTCCGAACAGTAAACAGGTGGGCCATTAAATGAGGACTATCTGTACTTCATAAAAGCATTAAAGATAAATTGATAGAGAACAAAAAAAGCACATGGAGGGAAGTAGTCTTTACACATAGATCAGATTTGAGAGTTCAGTGAGTTACACCAAAATCCTTTTAAAGTCTACCTAAATATATGACAGATATGGAAGTACACCTGAGGGGCCCGACTTAGAAATAATGTTTGAATTTGGAATGTCTGTTTTGGAGATAAGTCAGTTTTAAGTAATTAATAGATGTCGTTGCTGTCGCATTAGTTGGTAATACAAAAGCCCTGGTCCCAATCGGGTGATTGTGCGGTTCAGAGACATCTTCTGCCGTCACAGTTCAGGGGCTGGGAGTTGCTGCCAGCGCTTAGTAGGCAGAGAGACGAATGCTGCTGCACATCGCACGGTGCAGAGGACAGCCCTGCGAGGCTGAAGAGTGGCTTCTTGAAAGAGAGCTCTGTCCTTTTCCCTGGAGCCTCGGAATGTTACTTTAAATTGCAGAAACAAAAATGAGGGTGGGCAGTTCCTGCAGACGCGCATTTTGAGATGTTGACATCACCCTGCATTCCCAGGGTGAGAACTAAGTGTAGCCGCCAGCGTCCCTCTGAGAGAGGTAGAGGGAAATTTGACAGCCAGTGAAGGCGATGCTAGGACAGCAGCGAGATCTGAAGGCACCGGCCTGTGAAAGTTAGCATGATGTGGCCTGAGCCAGAGGGTGCGGGCGGCCCCCGGAAGCCAGAAGAGCTAACGGATGGGTTCTGCGTGCGGTGTGGCGTGCCAGCACCGTGAGTTTGGCCCCGTGAAACTGATTTTGGACTCCTGGGGTGCAAAGCGGAGAGAATGGATTTTGGTTGTTTTAAAATACCAAGTCTGTGATAATAGCAGCCTCAGGAAACAAATAGTGTAAATAAAACCCTTTACAGCAAAGAATTCTCCAGCTTAAAACACCATCGTGCCAGTGTTGAGAGACTGTCTTAAAGACTGAGTGGGATTCGTGTCGCCATTGGTAACTGTTACCTGTGGCGCACTGCACTGCATGCTTATGGCTGCTGGGCTACTAAAATTGAGTCAGTTGTGTTTGTTCCCAAACCTTTTGTTATTATTTTTCTTGTAATTTAATCAGTTATTAGATAAACCAGTGAAAGATCACAGAGCTTGATTTTGGATAAAAGTTAGTGGGTGTAATTTTATTTTTAAGAAGTTAGGATGTTTCAGAGCACATAGTTTTCATTTCTTGATTCTCTGCCCCAGGCGATCCTGGGGGCTTCCTTCCTCTCTGAGAAGGATGGCATCAGTTAGGCATGAACTGTAGGGCTTCACTGTCACCACTAGAGGGCTCACTGTCAGGGCTAATTGTAGTTCGGCCATAGATACTAGGATCCCAGAATTTGGTAGGTAAGAGAAGACTGAAAGATAATTCACTGTTCTCACTTAAAGCTTACAGTTTTATTACTGATTTCTCAGTACGTTTATTTCTCCATTTGTTTTTAATATGAAATAATAGCTCTTGATAAAAGATTCAGAGGTTTGACGATATTAAGATACCCATCTTTTTGGGGGAACACAGATATTATCATAAGGATGTTAAGTTTCAAGAATTAATTCAGTTGAAAACATTGCTTTATTTGTATTATGAAATGTCATTAATGTAGTTACCCAGCACATGGCTGCTAATGAGTCCTAGACTTTTCATCATTCCCTTAAAAATCTTGAAACTTACAATCTTTGGTTTATGGTAGTTGAATGACAAAATCAGCTTAAAGATTTTTTTTATAATTACAGAGTTACTGATATAGTAACTTACTTTTAAAATGTATATGATCTATATTTTGTTAAACCAAAGAATCGCTGACATGCTTTTACCATGCGAAACACTCCTTTTTATCACATTTATACAGAACATAGCAGTTTCTATTGTATAAAAAAGTACGCTCTGGGCCCACAATCTATAGGGTAGAATGTTATGCATGTGGTTAGTGGAGAATAAAGTATGTTCACTGAATCACACAGGGATTTAAAAAAGAATTGTCAGTGGGTGGCACACACCTGTGGCCCTAGTGACTAGGAGGCTGAGGCGAGAGGGTTGCAGATTCAGAGCCAGGCTGGGCACCTTGGCGAGACTGTGTCAGACTCTGCAGGGGCTGAGAAGGGCTGAGGCTAAGCTCAGACTGAAGGCACTGGATTCAGTCCCGAGTACCAGAAAGAAGAAAATCATCTTTAAGATTGAGCAAAAAGTGGGAACATAGACTTTATTTCCACTTTTTCCTTTTCCCATATTAATTCCATTCCCTTCTTTCCTTTCCCCTACCGCTTCCACTTCCCCTTCTCCTTTGCCCCTTTTCTTCCTATTTCACACTACCTATTATACCTTTTGATCCTTATTTACACTTGCAGTTTCTCACACCAGAGAAACTATTTGGTATTTATACATGTGTGTCCTATTGATTTCACTTAAGAGTATCGCCTCAATAGGGAGGGGTGGAGGGGTTGAAGGGAGGGCAGGGGAATGGGGAAAAAGTAAGAACCAAGATATATCATCTAAGGTACAAATTCCCAAATGGAATGCCGGCATATTGTATACCTAAAATATACCAGTAAAAGTAATGAATGAAAAAATTAAAAAGTGTGAACATGTCAGTGTTTGCAAAAACATGCTGACTAGATTATACATCATGCTTGTCTTCATGCTATGCGATTTGGTATAGACGGTAGATAACCATAGTTTCCTTCAGTGTAAGTGTATGTTGCTTCTTGGATTTAAATCCAGAATAACAGACTCTGCTAAGAACAAGATGTCATCTCAAGAGTATGTTTTGTGTTCTGTAGCAAGATCAGAGATTATTATTTGACTCCCTTTACTGTGAGAACAGGATTTTATTATTCAGTGTAAACCCTTTGCATCTCCACACAGGCATGAAAAACTTAGTAAAAAAGTATGAGCCGCCCAGACCTGAGGAAGTTGCTGTTCTGAAACAGAAGCTGGAGCGGTGTCACTCTGCTGAGCTTGCACTGAATGTAATTACGTAAGTAGCTGGGACAGTTATTCAAGAACAGTCTGTCACCCAGTCCGCCTGGCCTTTACAGTACTAAATCATTTCACTGGTAAAAGTTAGTTCATCTGGGGAAAACTGATACCTCGTGAGCCATATTTTTTTTTAATTGATTGTACTCTTCTAATGAGATTACACACTGCAGTAAGTAGTTCAGTCATTGTTTAGTTCTGATCTTCACCAGTGTGTCCTTTGGCTTCCAGATCTTGTCCTTTCAGTTCCTTCTCAAGAGATATCAGGGGTCAGAGTCTTCCTAGAGGATCTGTGAACTTCTGCCTGTCCTTTCAATCTTTGGTCTCTTCACAGGAACAAGTATACTCTCAGCTAGTGTAGGAGAATGTGGCCTATTTTCCTTCAATGAAAAACTTTAATATTGAAGATAGAACCTATAAAGAAATGTGCTGTAGATCTCTTTTTGCAGCCATAGGCACATGTCTCTTTAATTTGTAGGCCAGTGTGGAATTTACCATAAAATGTGCACTTGGTGCTTTGCATAAAAATCCATAACATTTTAGGAGTTGAGGCAGTTAGGAATTTGGGGAGCTGATGGGAATATTCACCAAAGTACTTTCTATGGACTGTGTTCTGATTTGAAAGTTTGTTAACATTTAGTGGAGTTCGCCATGGTAACGTGTAGGTAAGATGCAGTAGAGGTATTTTGATCTGTGTAACTGGTGAACGTATGCTGGTAGATATGAATCAAAAGCCAGAAAGGCTTTCAAGGTGTTTAGGACAGGCACATGACTCAGAGTAGTAGAGGAATCCTGGGATGTATCAACTGTGCAAAATATAGGACTTTTGTTATAATCATGGCTGTAACTTCAAAGGATGGCATAGAACTTGAAATTCAGATTTCATTCCTGTGTTTTAGTAGTAAGAGGACTATTAGAAGGTTGTAGAGAAGAATTGTTGACTCTAATGAATCAGAGTATTGGAACACTTATGTTCTCATACTGAGTTTTGAGAGAGCTTAAGCCAGGCATTGGCCAATTATGGTTCACAGGCTAAATCTGACCCCAGTTCTTTTGAAAGTTTTACTGGAACACAGTGTACACTTTAGATGATGTATTACTGTAGCTCTTTTCATGCTATGGCAGAAAAGTTGAGTGTGACAAACAATTGTGGCCTGCAAGTCCTAAAATACTTACTTTAGCCCTTTGAAGTTTATCAGCCCTGGGTCAGAACACTGAACAGCTATGATCCTACTCTTCCATCTAGGTAAGTAAATGGACCATAACCAAAAGTTTTTAATTGCCAGTTTATTGTTTGTTGTTGTTTGTTTTGGAGTTACTGGGGTTGAGGCCTGGGCCTTTGCACAGAGCTGCATCCCCATTCTTTTTGTATTTTGAGACGGTCTCATATTGCCCAGGCTGTGACCTTCAATCCTCCTGCCTCAGCTTCCCACAGTTGCAGGATTACAAAGCATGCCTCACTCAGAGTTTGATTTACTCTGAATTACCATTTGCTTCTTACTGTGCCAAGCAAATCCTATAAATGTGTGGATTTCAGTGCTTTTCAAACTGTGAAAGACTTAAAAAAAAACTCATTACAGACACTGTAAAATAATAAATTTACTAAACAATGAAATAAGACATACAAAACTAAGTTTAGGTTTTATTAGATGGAAGAGTCAAAAATTGTCAGATTGCTATAAAAATTTCTAAATACACAATTTTTAGACTACTCACTACAAACTGGAAAGAATTTATGGACCACACTGTGCATAGCAATACTTTTAAGACAAAGTACTTCTTTTCCTCGATCGTTAAAATTCTTCTACCTTTATTTTTCATTACACAAGAACTGTATTGTCAGTAAGTCAGTTAATATGGGTAAAACCAAAATTCCCTTTGAACAATCCCAAATCTAAGTCACAACCTCAGAAGTAACTTATTTGGTGTTCACCTCTGCAGTCTTCTGTGTGTGTGTGTGTGTGTGTGTGTATGTTATGTATAATAAATACTGCTGGTGTTTCTTTGTATTGCTGTCGTCAAATATGGTACAACACTTATCGTTACCAGCCTTTAACCTCTGCCAGTCTGGGTGAAAAATGCTGTCACATTGATATTGTAATTTGTATTTCTCTGATCACTGTGAGCCATTGATCATAGGTCATTTATATTTTTTCTGTACTGGTTATTTATGATGTTTGCACAATTTTGTAGCATTATTTTCTTGTTCTTTATAAATTCTATACACTCATCTTTGTTTTTGTTTTGTATTTTTGGTACCGGGGATCGAACTTGGGACCTCACGCTTGCAAGGCAGGTGGTGGAACCACTGAGCTAAATCCCCGGCCCTATACATCTTGGTATATGTGACATAGCCCTCTTTTCAGTTTTTACATATAAAAATTTTCTTTTAAATGTTTTTATTTAGCTTTTAAGTTTAAACTTGATTGTTTGTGATGAGGTAATTTTTTCTTCAGATACTAATTTTGTTTCAGCCTGCTTTTTGAATGTTTTTTCAGTTATTTGAATTACTTTTTTTTTAATCACACACTAAATTCTTAGTCATTTTAAAGATTGGTATATAATTAATACTATGCACTTAATTACCATAGCTTTTATAATGTGCTTTCATAACTGACGAGGACCTTCAGCATTGTTCTTTTGCAGATTCTCTTTGCTAGTTTTTCATATTCTTTTCCTGGGTCAGTTTGGCTTAACAAGTTCCAAGAAAAATCTTACTGGGATTTTAATTGGAATTGCATTGAATTTCAACACTGATTTAACAAATACTGTCTTCATAGCCATAACTCTTCATCTCTTTCCAAGCCCTGTTCTTCAGCGTATATATAGTATTTCACAGGCTATTTTATTCCTAGATATTTTATAGTTTCTGTTGCCAGTACCAGGCTGCTTATTGATAGTTGCTTAATTCCAGAAAGAAGAGGAAAGGCTATGAAGATGATGATTATGTAGCAAAGAAATCCAAACATGAAGAGGTATGTTAATGCCAAAGGTGAAGTTAACATCATTTTTGTTAACACATTCTAGATTTATTATTCCAGAGCGTGACAGAGTTTGGGTTTTTTACTCTTAGTTTTGCATATGCATTAAAGGAATTTTCCTTGCTTCTGTTTTAGCCTGTTCTGAAGCAATGTAATAGTTACTTGATGAAGAATCCTTCCTTTATTCATAGAGCACAGCAAGCAAGGATAGATACACATACTTAATTTTTGCTTATTTTCCAAAGATTCTTCCCTTGCCCCCTTTCTTTAAAATTGTACCCAGGTAAAATGATAATCAGAGGCACGTCACAGCCATAATCCAGTGCTTGTTGGAGGAGTCTAGTGAGACCATGACAGTAAGAGTGAAAAATCAGTGCACTCGTTTTCTGGTTTTAGTTCTGTCATCAGCATGAGTAAAGGGACAACGTTTTCCCAAAAGGGACAGAGCAGTAAATTATAGTGGCTATGCTTCAGTGTGTTATCCTAACCACATTTTTTTTTTGTTTTAGGAAGAATGGACTGACGATGACCTGGTAGACTCTCTCTAAATGTTTGAAGTTGATGTGTCAGTTCTAATTAGCAGAAGTAGCAAATGTATCTGGCATTTAATGATAAAAACACTAATATATTAAACTTTTCTATTTCACTTTTATCCTTTTCTATTTTACTTTTATCCTTTCATGGTAGCTTTATGTAAAATAAAACATCTTCAGAATAAGCCAGAATGGCACCTAGTTACTGCCCCCCGTGATGAAAAAGTACCAAGGAAATGTGCTTTGCTCCATAGAAATCTTTATAAGCGGCATTTCAAATGCTGTCCGTATACACGTAGCAGTTTGTGCTTTACTACTGAACCGTTTGTTGCATCACAACCGTTACTTGGTCCTGAAAGGTAGTCATTCTGGATACTGATTATTTTTCTTTTCAGTTACTTACTGGAAAAAATTTCCAGATGGATTTTTAAAAAATTCAGATGTGTAATTGTGAGTTAGATAAAAATCTTAAGTTGATATAATCAAATTATATATTCAATTTTAGAATTAACCTACTACATCACGTGTAAGAGAATTCATAAGTAGGTGTTATAGTAGGAAATTTGCAAATAAAATATATACAAGGAATTTAACTCAGGTTGAAATGAATTTATATAAAAATATAAAAACCAAATACGGCACCAAGTTACTCGCTGTGTTAGGGCTGCCTCTGCTCACTCCATGACTTTGGTAAGTTAGCTAGCCTGAGTGCCAAGTTTCCCAAGTTCAAATGAAGTGACAGCGATGATGTCCACTCCTCAGGGTGGTTAGGCCAGAGCCTTCACAGGCTGATCAGTAATGTATTAATGGCAAAACAAACACTAGCTGTTACATACAGCCAGAACCAGACTCTGAATGTGTTTTATCAGGCCACATTTTTTGTGGAAAACTGACTTGAAATTGTGAGAAACTCAGCTGCCTTTGATCTGATTAAATTGTGCAGATACACACGTCAGACTCAATGCATGCCAGGCTGTCCTTTCCACCAGAGGGTTAGCAGTTACTTAGCATGTGACGGCAATATATTATTTATGTGTTAGGCACACGTCTCTTGGTGGTTTTTGTCTTGTTACTCTGAAATGAATAAAATTGATGGTGGGACTTTATAAAAGTAGAGTAGAATCTGAAGTTTGTAATCCTTCAGTGTAGTCCTAGCATTGTGCTAGACTGTAGACAGAACTGCAAAACACTTACACTTTACTTCCTACTTCCCTTTCAGATCACTAAACTTTGGCATCGCGACAAGGTCTACATTTATCTCTGAAAATTTCCTAACCAGCCCCATGAAAAAAAAATCAATATTTTAGAGATTTTATCTGTTTTATCTATTGACCATCTAGCTAATGTAGGGGATCTACAAAGGTAAGTAACAAGTTTCCCCCTCCAACTTAAGAAAACAACATTAAAGTATAAAAGCAGGATACATTTTTCAGGTTTGTGTTTTATGATAAATGGCATGGGAGAAAGACTCTGGAATGGCAGACATTCTAAAAAAGATTTTAGAATATTACTAGGCCTATCCCTCCCATTCTGTCTTCTGTCCAGTGAATGAAGAAGAGACTGACTGGGACACTACTGTGGTGAAGAGGAAAGTAAAGTGCTGTGGTCTGGAGAGGAGAGGGTGGAGTGGCATGAAGATCAAGGGAAAGGGCCACAGGACGTGTTTGAGTTGGGGTTAACACTGCTTACGTGTGATGGAAGCTATATGAGGCTAGCTGCCTTCACAGAAGTAATTACCTGTTACAGTGTAAAACAAGAGTAGATGCCATATTTTAAACCACGAGGGGCTGGGAGTATAGCTCAGTGGCAGAGCTGTAGCAGTGCTACAAAGAAGTAACGATCAGAGAATCGGTATTGCTCTCGGAATGCCGGCCTGTAGAAAGCTTTTCTTTGCCTTGGGAGCTGGTTATCCTCATACTTGGTTCCCATCTCCCTCACTGTTGTTATTACTAATCTTCCGCACTTGTCATTTTTCCTGGCTTGTCTCCCCTGCACACATGGGGAAGAAGGAAATAACTGTGTAACAAATACATATTGAAAGAGTAGGAATTTTTTCAAAAGAGACCATTAATTAACTAACTGGTGCTAGTTTTAACTGCCCCTAAAGAAGGAAGAAAATAAATTAAATGCTTGGCAATATTTAGACAGAAGTAATCACTTTGTAAGATATCCCTTGGTTTATTTTAACTTAACCCTTGTGAATACTTCACAAAAATACACATACAGAAGCAAATAAAACTATACAGTC